TAACCCAAGTGAATTATAAGATAAATTCATAGTTTATCTATCCTCTAGTTAATATTAAGCTTATTTTCCCATTTGTAGAGTAATATTACCAAAGCAGCTTTTTTAGCTGTTGGCAATACCTGCATTGGGTTTAGTTCCAGAAAGCAACCCAGGTGCTGCCAAGTTTGTTAAAGCATTTTTTTTTTAAACTGAACAAAAATAACGTACAATTTATACTCGACATTATGCCACCAAAGTCCAAATAATGTCCAGTGAAGAAAAATCAATGTGATGATACAATAAATACATGATCTGATTTATTTAATTGCAAGTTTTTTGACCATGTATCATATGCCGGATAGATCCAATGCCTTTAGTGTCAGACTAAAGCCCAGCATGACCTTGTAATAACCAAGTGTGCTTTATGCAGGAGAGCCTTTTGACAGTACTTAATTGTTTGCAGCATCTGCTTGACGAGGCCAGCCTTCCTCTTCAACTCCGGAGTCATACTCTTCCTCGGATGAATCTTTAGTCGGAGCCCTACAATTAAAATGAATTGAGCAGGTATGTTAAAATCTGAGAAGAGAACAAAGGCAGGATGACTGGGATGGAGACAGCACATCTTCCACTTCAAAACACTCAGGCCAAAAGTTTCATTTTAAAAACCCAATTTATTTGCTTGAAAGAGTTAATCACAGAATTCTTTTGTGATAACTGGCAAAACTTAACCTTGGAATAACGCAGAGCGAGTGACACTTATTCTGCACTTAATTCAACTGTTACTGAGAGAATACTGGTTTACACTTCAGCAGTTCCTTCTACAGGAGAAAATAAACATGCTGAATTAAGCCTCAGCATCAATGTGAAGTAAATAGCAGCATTATTTCCATTAGTCAGAAAGAGTATGTACCTTAAAAGAATGCCACGTGGGAGCTTTACGAGACCTACAACTCCTGACTCCTAGTCTTGTCTCTTAAACACAAGACCTCTTCCCATATCTGCATCACACACTAGTTAATGAGACTTAAAAATCACCCTTTGTCCAAGTCTTTAGATGCTCTAATCACTAATCATCACTAAAATAGTATCATCCTAGCAGCCCTGAAGTAATTATTTCAACAGGAATTCAGCCAACCAGCCACCTCCAGGAACTCCTTTCCCCATCCTTTCACCTTTGTGGGAAGCAGAGCCTCAACCCCTCTCAGGAATACCAGCAGAAATATATCTTGCAGACAGCCCAGGTAGCCATCAACTTTGGGCTACATCAGACTAAGGGAATCAAAGGAGCCAGTTTTGATTTTTTCTCCAAGAATTTCAATGTCCTGCCCACTACTAAGGACTAACAATGATAATTCCCCCCCTTCTTCAGAAAATTCAACACAATCACCCATTTAAACAGAGTGTTTTATGTTCTTGATAAAGTCATTGTGCTATTTACCCACAGACAGGCAAATGTCAAGGTAAAACAAATGTCATGCATTTAAATTTATTTGGTAATTTACAGTTATTTTTATATTTTTAATCAGAACTATTTCTGATTTTTAAATCAGAAAGCAGCCAAGGTGTCTAGACTACGTAGTAAGTGCCGTTTACCTACTGTGTATGGCACGTAGAAAGAAGGATTCTTTGTTTTAAAAGGTGCGCACAATTTTTGTTTTCTTGTTTCTAACGCACCTAGTTGACAAGCATTAGGGCACTTGCCTAGATACGTTATCAGTCTGCTGTGGTATTGCCATTCCTATTTTACCTAATGTATCCTGGCTCTTTTTTGCCTTCTACAACATCTTTGTCAACCTCCACACATACAATGTCAGAATTCGGTACTTCGAACATGGGCTCCAGCAACAACTTCTCCTACGAGAAAAGAAAAACAAACATGTATTACACCTAGTCCTTCACACAATAATGGTTGGCTGGGTACTCTACTAGAAGAAACCTGACTATCCGTACCACTGGGAAAAGGTTTATTCTCTATAGCTGAACATCCCACTTAAATTACCCTTAAAGAACAAACTCTCTTGGCAAGGACAACGTGCATAATTCAAATACATCTACTCAGGATGCAAATAATTAGTGCTACTTAATAAAGAGCTCACCATTATAGATCGAAGGCCTCTTGCACCAGTCTTCCTGTCCAGAGCCAGTCTGGCTATGGCTTTCAGTGCATCTTCAGTCACATTTAATTCACACTATGTGTAGAAAAGTAACATTGGATATTTTATTTGTATGTCTGACTTCTATGTTTTCCCCATCTTTCTTTTAACTGTGCTTGTGGCAAAATTGCCTGCAAGTATTTTAAATGATTAGCTCATCCTTTGGTAACTTTTTCTATTTGAAGTATTCAAACAGAAAGATCTCACCCAAGCCCTCTGGACTGCAGCATCTTCCACTCTTATTTGGGGTTTTTACCTTGGCACTGGTCCCCTGGACTATGCATATAATTCACTATGAAAAAAGTAGCCCAAGGTCTGTCCCAAGCCACAGTGGTTTGGCAGATTGGCATGGTTAAGTCAAGCTAGTTTCTGCAATCAACAGCACATGAGACTGTGATATGGCCAGTCATGCTGGCGGTCTTAGGTTCCCTGGTCCAAGGATGGAGGTTTATACTAGAGGTGCACTGATAGAGGTTTCTGGGGCTGATACTGATACCTGATTTTTAAGGAGGCATATTGGCCAATACTGATCCAATTTCCATATCAGCCTGGCAGCTTGGAGAGCTGTGTACAACTGGTAAGTCTGCTGTGGTAGAAGGGGAGGAAGAAGGGAAGGGGCATGGGGATTGGGGCAGATCAAGGCCCCCACAGAGAGGGAGGAGTGGGGCTGGGCCAAACACTGCCCAGCCAGGGTGGGGCAGGTGCAGGATGGAGCTGTGGCTAGTCCGGAGGGTGGCTCCTGCTACTGCGTGCCGCTCGTTCAGTGGCTCATCTGGCACTCACCTGGTGGCTCTCACCACTCATCTGGGATAGCAAGGGGGGGGGGGGTGCCTCCAGATCTGTGTGGAGTGTGCTGGGGCTGTGCCAAGCTTTTCCTAGCTGGGCTCAGGCCAGGTGGTGATGGTCCTGGGAGGGGACTACAGCGAATTCTAGGGTGGCTGCAACCCCCACTTCCCTGCCCAATTCCCAGCGCCATGGCTGCCCAGCCTGAGCCCAGCCCAGCCAGGAAGAGCTTGGTGTATCCCCTGCCCCTGCCCCAGCCCGCCCTGGGCAGATCTGATCAGCAGGAGCTGCTGGATGAGCAGGCGAGTGCCAGATGAGCCACTGGATCAGTAATGCATGCTGCCTCCTCCATCCCTCCACCACCGATCCGCAGCTCTGTCCCAAGCCCACCCCATCCCAGCTGGGCAGTGACTGCCCCAGCCCCACTCCTCCCTCAGTGAGGGGGCCTTGATCTGCCCCACCCATGCTTTTTCCCTTCCCCTTCCACCACACCAGACTTACCAGCTAGAGGCAGCTCTCCATGCTGCTGGGCTGTGCTCCTCACTGCCTGTGCTGCGCTACGGACGTGCGCATGCACGGGCCATTTATCAGCCAAGTTATTGGCCTGGTATGGCCGATTTCCAATACAGACATTTTTCTTTATATTGGCGCCAATCCAATATCAGACCGATGTATCGGTGCACCTCTAGTTTTTACCAGGACCCAATCTAACCAATTACATTTGAACTAGCTTCCACAAAATAGTCTGTTCTAACCAGTTTTTCTGCAAGTAGAAATGGTTCAATTTTTATATTACAGTAAAAGCTGTTATCCGGCATCCCCCGGGAATGGGGGATGCTGGATAACAAAATATGCCGGTTAATTCAGTGGCCCAGGCCACCACTTCTCCCGCCACGTCTGGGGTGTCCCGCTGCCCCTCCCACGACATCACCACCCTTCCAGCTGCATCATCACCCCTCCTGCGGGCCCTGCAGGCTCTGTGGGACAGGGAGGTGGGCCCCACATCCTGTTTTGCCCCGGGGCCGTGGGGGCTTAGCATCACAGGCTGCTTTGCCCTAGGGGCTCAGAAAAACCAGAAGTGTCATGATGGGCACTTCCAGTTTCACTTCATCTTACAAGCCGGCATGCCAGTTAATTGAGCATACTGTTTTGTAAGATACCAGTTAACAGAACTTTTACTGTACTATAAAAAGTCTCTATAGTAGTCCAGGGCCTTGAACTAGGTCCAAACAACATAAACATGACCTGTTATGGAAAAAGGCCAGAGTACCCTTATAGACATGGTACCAAAACAGCAGAGCAGGTATGGGCAAAATGACCCGTAGAGCCCCTAAAAAATTAGACAAGTAATATTTATCTGCCTCTGGCTGCCTGTCAAAGATGACCCAGGAGGCTCCAGTGGTAGGACCCAGCAGCAGCAGGGCCTGCCCCCCCCCGATGCCCAGCTCACAACTGGAAGCTTCTGCCTACTAGAGGCTTCTGGCCTGGGACCCTGGGACTGTTTCCCACCTCCCTCTATCCAAAAATGGAGAATCAGATGGGTGGAGCAGGAAAGGGGAGTGTGGGAAGAGGATCGCCAGCACAGTAGGAGCCAACCTGGCCCAGCTGGCACCACACAGTTCCCAGCTGGCTCCTGCTGTGCTGTGCAGTCCTGGCCATGCAGCTGGGAAGCCCGCCACTCTGGCAACATGTGGGGGCGACCATGGTGGCAGTGGTGGGTGAGGAAGGGAAGTGGCAGCAGGTGCAGGAAAGAAAGTGGCAGTGAGCAGGAGTGGGAGCAGGAGCCAGCTAGAAAATGTGGGGATTGGACTGGCTTCTGCTGCTTTCTGAATTGCAGTCAGGAACTGCCCTCTACCAGGAGGTGCCTGGCCAAGCCGGCCAGCTCCGTGCCACACTGTGCAGTTCTCGGCCACAATGCCAGGACCAAAGAATACAGCAGGAGCCAGCCCGGCCCCTGTGGTTCCCAGTTGGCTCCTGCTGCCGCCTCTACGGCAGGGGCTGTACACCTGCAACTCCCACACTCGCAATGGGGGAAAAAACCACACTGCAGCCGGCTGCCTTCCCTGCCTCCTGCTGTGACTCTGCTGGGAGTGGAGGGAGCCCCAATTCCCTGCTTCACTGCAGAGTCCAGCAGAGCACTGCTTCCCCCAGTGCGAGTGCCGGAGCTGAAGGCACGCAGCACAGAGCCCCCGCGATAGAGGCAGACAGACAGGCTGGGCTCCTCCCCACCGTGTGCAGTGCTGGCCGAAGCTGTGCTCCACCAGGCACTAGAGCCTGCGCCGGGCATAAGCTCCCTGAGCCCCCCTGCCTGCTGCTGGCATTGAGGGCTGTATGCCATGTGGGGGACTGGGGGGTCCCCATACCCCCCCCACCCCACAAACCTCCATCCCCACATATGCACACACTCCAACATACCCTATGCCCCCCCACAAACCTTCCACCCCATCTTACACACACTCCCCCCCACACAATATAAAAGAGATTATTTTTGAGTTGTTATGCAATCCCTTCTATATACACTACACAAACACAAATCATGATAAATGATTTTGTAATAAAATTAAAATATATTGTAGTAGGTGTTTGACTTCTAGTGTATGATTTGTTTTTTCCTGGTTCTAAGATGGCAAACACCACCCCCCTCCCAAAATAAGCATTTCCAGGGGGAGGGACTTCTGGTGGCAAAGGTCAGGGGCTAGGCCATGGGACTTCTAGTCCCAATATGGTGACCAGGCAGTGGGCCAATTGTCGGGGTGGGGGGAGAAGCAGCCCTCCACCTGAAATAACTGTTTGTCTCTGCGGTAGAGGTTTTAAGGACAAATACAAACACTGGTGAAAATGAACTAAATGTTACCATACCTTCCTTCTTTTTGCAATTTTTAGCCAACCCCCCCACCAAAAAACTTATTACTTGATAACATTTCAAGGAGGAAAACTAGGATTCATGGAAACATGGCAGATAGGAATAAAAACAACCCCCCCCCCCC